TTACGGTGATAGGAATGTAAATATACAAGAATTCACTCTTTTATATATATATATATATATAATATACAAGAATTCACTCTTTTATATATATATATATAATGCCAAAGGAGTGGAAACGAGCTAATCTGGCCTCACCATGGGAAGAGGACCGGATGCAATATTTTTTGCACCATGAGTGGGAATTTGGATAGAGGCAAACAAATAGGGAAGCGGAACAGGAAATCAAAAAGGAATTTAAAAAGGCTGAACTCCGATAGGAAAAGGGGAAAACACCGTTGAATTCGGAACCCAGAGCTGACTTTATTTTATTATTATTTTTTTTTAAGGATTCCAATTAATTTCATGTCATAAATGTAGAATTTAAAAAGGTCAAAACAGAATGAATATAAAATGAAAACATTTTTTTTTTTATAATGAGCATTTAATAGTTACACTCCTTTTTTTAGTCCATTTAATAATGTTCATTTAATGGTTGAATCCCTTTTTTAGCCTCTAAATAGGTTTGAATGAGAGGGTAGTGATTAAGTCTTAATCCCTACCTAACAGTCGATCCAGGATTTATCAGAAGAATGTCTCGCGTAGCGGTGAAGAGTTGTGGCGAAGAGTTGTGGTGAAAAGTTGATGTGCAGAGTTGCGGCAAAGAGTTGCGGTGCTGAGTTGCAGGGAAGACTTGCGTCACAGAGTTGCGGGGAAGAGATGTGGTGAAGTGTTGCAGTAGAGAATTGCGGGGAAGAGTTACGGCGCAGTGTTGCGGTGTAGAGTTATTGGTGAAGAGTTGTGTCATAGGGTTGCGACAAAGAGTTGAGGGAAAAAGTTTCGGTGCAGAGTTCTGGCGAAGACGGCCCAAAGTTGTTGCGAAGAAGAAAATCACCATCGCCTTGCATAGCAGACAAGCAATGAGATCTTCTTTCTCGTTGCAGCTTCAGAATCTGGAGAGAGTACGAGTTGACCTTAGTGAAAGTAATATGATGTGAAAGCTCTTCAGTCGATGGTGTCAACCCAAGAAAAAGAGATCTGACTTTTGATGTCCGCAAAGAATGTTGATGTTGCAGAACAACCTTTTGAGACTGCAGTGAAAGTTTCCCCCCAGCCAGGAAGAAATTGTGAAGTTCTTTGTCTAAATAGAATGCGAGAGGACAACCCAATTACAATCTTGCCCCCAACCGGAAAGACTGCCTAAGGGATGATCTTCAAGATGTAAAAAAGATTTCTTTGCCAGTTGGATGATATACATTACTGGGAAATGAAGTAGGGGATTGACATCTCAGAGTTGAAGATAGTATCAAACAGTGCTTCGTTTCCCACTGACGACACTAAGCTGATGCGTGCTACAAAATTCTCAGCGGTAGAGTTTTGGATTATCATCTTAACATTGCACGAGAATTAAACACACACTCAGGTGAAATAAAGCAAACACAAATGACACCAAAAGTTTTTACGTGAAAAATCCGTAAAGGGAAAAAACCACGGAGTCTGACCCAGTTGTAAAAATTAACTATTGATTGATCATTACAAAAATCTCTTATCTCACCGATGTTAAAGGGTTATTAGATTTTCCAAGTCACAACATTGACTGATGGAATCTGGTTGTTAATGATCGACGGTGGTTATCGGTGGGCGACAATGGTCAAAGATGGTTAACAACGACAGTAGTGTTTGACGGGGTTGGTGTTGTCGGTGACGGTAGACAGAGGTCGACGGTGGTGGGCAGTGGTCTAAGACTGTTGGCGGTGATCCACGACGGTCGGCGGTGGTCCAAAATGGTCAGCAGTGGTCGACGACTGTCAGCGGTGGTCGACGGTGATCGACGGTGGTTGACAACAGTTGGCGGCTGCCGGCGACATTCGACGACAAAAAAGAATGTGCTGGACTTCAGCATTCGACGACAACAAAGATTGTGTTGGACTTCAGCTCTTTCTCAAAATCTCAAGTTTTCCCTCAAGGGTCAAGCTCCCTCCTCATGAGAAGTGGGGCTCTATTTATGATGTTATGGGTGCAATTAGTGCAGAAATATGAATCACTTTGATCGGTCGGTCTGAAGAGTTTTCCTCTATCAGATGGTGTTTGATGGACATTTAAGTGCCTTAACAATGTTGAAATTGAGCAATCTTGGGCTCGTTGGATTTGTCTTGTCGAGACGTTCAATTACTTTATAAACTCGTCATATTCTATATCTGTTTGTCCTTCCAAATGTATCCAGAAATCTTTCAAGAGTGGTTTAATGGATCGATCTGAGCTTGATTTAACTCGGATTGGACTAATTTTTACGTCATTAGGTCCATCTCATCGAGTATGTCAATTTGACGATAAGTTTGCTGAAATCAGAGTTCAAAATGACTCATAATTGAAATTTGAATGTTTCTTGTTCAAAACTTGCCTTGATATTCATGCCGAAAATGGAAAATTTGTTGATGATGTATCACGTACTAAAGTATAAAGGGAGCTATCATTACCAACATCTTGTATGTCCATATTGTCACCTATGTTTACATGGTGTGTATCTTTAACTTCGTCTCCTTCAATGAAAGATGGTGAATTGCTTGCACTTGCATTATCTTTGTTTGCATAACAATTTATTGCCAAATTACTTTGAGCACAATATATACACATTTAAGTTATCACTACCATTGCATGAATTTGGATATCTCATTTAAGAAAAATAATATATTAATATATTGAAATTTTTATCAGAGCAATTGAATTTATGGATTGTAATTCATTTAGGAGATACTTTATTTTTGGTTTCAAATTAAATTATTATTATTTACTTCTTTATGTAACTTTATAGATCAGCATTATGGATCTTCGAGATAAAACTCAAATTAATTTGATTGTCTTCATTTCATTCTCTCCCATATAATGCAAGAATGCCGATACTTAATTCACTTTTTGAAGACCATTGGTCATGATTTAATTTAACCATTGAATGATCATTCTTTTTAATGAAGTTTGAAATATTTTCTTTCATATAATATAGGAATCGACTACTTGATTAGTTTCAGGTTGGCTAGGCTGGTTCAATTGGTTAGGTTTTGTTGATCGGTTGATAACCCATGATCTCCGATGAGAAGCTTTTGTCAGCAGAGCGATGCTAGACTTTGGAGTAGAAGGTGAATTAATGTGACCCAAAGGATAGCTCTCGCTTCTTAGTGAGGAGAGCCTTAGGGATATCCATAAGACTCTTTGTTTCATTGTTAATTCTTGATCACTGATTAGAAGCTTCAGGACATATGTGGGATGATTGATGATGTTGAGGAACGTGATCTTTCTTCAGGTTGTATCTACCCGAAGATAAGTTGTTACTTTCGGCTGGCTTTCTTGTAGTGATTTACTTGAATATCTGTCTCATTTATAACTGAACGACTCAAATTTGATTGCTTTCGTGAACCGATCAGCTTTGGCCTTACTTGCTTTGGTTTGAACGACTACATTCGATTGAATAAGTGGGTGGTTTAGTTATTTGTCGGCGGGGCTTCCTTTGTCATACTCTCTTATTCTGGACCATTACATATTCTTGGGATCAATATTAACACATTTTCAATGTTTGTATATATTTTTTCTCATTTTTAATGAACGACAACTTTTTTAGCCAACTTTAGTAATTGCTATTCTCGGCGAATGAATGAATATTATGTTCGTGCCCATGAGATAGAACGACTAATAAATATAAAACAAGTTAACCTAATAAACTATTTTTCTATCCACAAAGTTAAATACAGAGAAATTTTGATTTCCAAAAAAAAAAAAAAATGTAATTTTGAAATAGGGAGATTTACTTATATATAAACATATTTATCATCTTTCATCCTCAAAATTTTTGAAGCTCATCTTATTCTATCGACATCTAAAGTACGACACAAATATAATAATATATTTGTATTATTTTATTATTAATTTTTTATGTATAAGAAAGTTAGATTAAGGTTCTTTCGAGTGTTCATAGAATTAATGATTTGTATAAAATAAATAACATATGAGATAAACACGATAGATTTTGTCCTTATGAATTGTTATGAACATAAAATTATTTTTATAGCAAAAAAGTGATTGTGCATCTGAAGTACGTCGCAAATAGAATAATATATTTGTACTATTTTATTATTATTTTTTATGTATAAGAAACTTAGATTAAGGTTCTTCCGAGTGTTCATAGAATTAATGATCTGTATAAAATAAATAACATATGAGATAAACACTATAGATCTTGTCCTTATGAATTGTTATAAACATAAAATTATTTTTATAGCAAAAAAGTGATTGTTCAGGTAATCACAAATCATAATATTTAGAACATCACAAATCAGACAACTCAGAGCGCCATCAAAGAAAGTCATTTTAGACGAGTTGAGGCAATTAGTTGGACATTCAGACACGGTTGCCAGTGTTGGGGAAGCAAAAAGATCGAGACTGATTTATTCAGACCAGGTAACTGAGGCCGAGAGATCGAGCTAGGGTACCCAAGATAGTGCAACGAAGGCCTATTAACCAAAGGCAAGTGTTTGCAGCCATACACTAGAAGATGATTGTTCAGGACAAAATGCTTAGCCCTCATATCTCAATGGCCCAACAAAAGTGACTATTTCAAGGAACCCGAATCATAAGATAAGTGAGAAGAATTCGAGGGCCCCATGATTAGAGATCTAGGGCAAGATATGCCCAAATACATCATTTTTATTTTATAAAAGCCAATCATTATAAATAAATGAAATTAAATGCAAGTAGATATCTTTTAAAGAGGATCACCAATCCCAGAATATTTTCCTGATCCGTATTCTTCTTCAACTAGCTCCTCAGTCCTTAAAAAAATTACCTTTTTTTAATATATGTTCTATGCATTAGATGTGATTAAGTATGATTAAAGGGCGAATCAGAGTTCAACGTTTTGGTACAAAATACAAGTTTTGGGATTATAATGGCATATTAATAGTTTGAAAAGTTTTTAAATCGATTGATAATATATAAGTTAAATACTAGCAGTAGCCAAACAGGCCCAAGTTTTGTTTTTGAGAGATTACCCAGCAATTCAAAAGCAGTTCCACAAGCAACTAATCCAAAACTCATATACCGGCTGTCTGCTTCTGGTGAGAGGAAAAAAAAAATGCTATTCCATGTTGGCCTCGATCTGTCGCCGGCGCTCCCGCCTCCTCTTCCTCCACGGCCTCAATTCTCCTCTCACCGCCCCTTGTCTATGTTCTCTAGTTCGAAGACATCCCTTAGTTGCGCAATCCATTCCCTCCGCCTCCGCACTCTGACTTTCTCGCCTTCCATTTCTTCGGCCGCCACTGTTGAGCCATTGCAGCATCCAGAAAAGCTAGATAATGGGGAGAGAGATATGGGTGTCGAGGAAGGAGATAACGAAGAAACAGAGATGTATCGTTTCAAGGCGGAATCTTTACTAGATATCTACGCCGAGAAGGATGCGAGGCATCTTCCCTCGCCGGAGGTGGAGGTTATACAACTCGAAGACCTTCCTGATCAGTGGAAGAGGTCTCGGATTGCTTGGCTTTGTAAGGAGTTACCTGCTCACAAGCAAGGCACCCTCGTCAGAATCCTCAACGCGCAGCGCAAGTGGATCAGACAGGAGGATGCCACCTATGTCACCGTTCATTGCATGCGCATTCGAGAGAATGAAGCCGCTTACAGAGTTAGTACCATGGTCGGCGTTTGGTCCGCTTCTGATTTTTTTTATTTTTTTGTTGGGTTGCTGTTTTCAAAGTGTCTGATAGGTGTTTGATAATTAGCCCCTTCCACTTTTTCTTTCTTTTTTGCAACCAAAATGGAGTCTTTATCTGCTGCTTACCCGAATTCCTGTCTGAAATTCGGGCATTTAAATATATATATATATATATATATATATAATTTTCAGCACTGCTAGCTGCTGTTTTTGCTGGATATTAGTCGAATGGTGCTTGCAGGATGAAAGCATTTTGTGGTGTGCTCAGAGTTGAAGGAGAAGCTGCGCTTCTTGTTTTTAATGATAGCTGCGTGGTTTTTTCTGGTTTCAGGTCTACAGTTGGATGTCAAAGCAGCACTGGTTCCATTTCGATTTCGCACTTGCAACCAAACTGGCGGATTACCTGGGCAGGGACCGAAAATTTGCAAAATGTCGAGAGATATTTGATGCCGTGATCAAGCAAGGCCGGGTGCCCGCCGAATCTACATTTCACATCCTCACAGTTGCTTATCTCAGTGCACCATTTGAAGGGTGCATCGAGGAGGCATCATCCATCTACAACAGAATGATCCATTTAGGTGGGTATAGGCCAAGGCTCAGCTTGCACAATTCTCTGTTCCGTGCCCTCTTGGGCCAGCTGAGAAGGGCTTCACAGTCTTACCTCAAGCAAGCTGAATTCATTTATCACAACCTGGTAACATCTGATCTTGAGGTGCAAAAGGAAATATACGCGGGGCTTATCTGGTTACACAGTTATCAAGAGCACATTGACAGAGAAAGGATTGATGCTCTGCGAGATGAGATGTCCAGTGCAGGATATGAAGAGGACAAAGATTTGCTGATCTCAATGTTGAGGGCATGCTCAAAGCAGGGTGATGTTGAAGAAGCAGAGAAAATATGGCTCAAGTTGCTCTCATATGAATGTGCACTCCCTTCTCAAGCTTTTGTCTACAAAATGGAGCTCTATTCCAAGGCTGGTGATCCAATGAAATCACTAGAAATATTTAAGGATATGAAGAACAGAGCCACACCCGTTGCAGTTAATGCTTACCATAAGATCATTCAGATCATGACAAATGCCAATGAAATTGATATTGCAGAGACTCTTGTGGACAAGTTCACTGAAAGCAGGTTGAAGCCGCTTAATCCCGCCTTTCATGATCTGATGAGTATGTACTTGAAACTAGGAATGCATGATAAATTGGACATCTCATTCTCCAAATGTCTTTCAAGATGTCATCCCAATAGAAATATTTATGGCTTATACTTGGAATCTCTGGTGATGGTTAATAATCTTGAGAAGGCTGAGCAAATCTTTAATGAAATGCAAATGAATGGCACGATTGGTGCCAATGCTCGTTCATGCAATATAATTTTACGAGGATATTTAGCCGCAGATGATTATGAAAAGGGTGTGAAGGTATATGATATGATGCGTCAGAAAAACTATGATGTAGAGCCAGGTTCTATAGAACAGATGGAGCAATTCTTTCACCATAATAAAAAACTTGTCAGGAAATCTGTCAGTTTGAAACTTGGTGAAGAGCAGCGTGAGATATTGATTGGTTTGCTACTAGGAGGGGCTGATATTGTACTGGATGAACATAAGAGGAAACATGCAATTCTATTCAAGTGCAATGCGAGATCCGAGGTTCATTCTACATTGAGAACACACATACATGAAAGGTTTTATGAGTGGTTAACTCCTAACAGATCCGTTGATGGAGAGAATGAGATACCTTTCCAATTTTCTACAATACCTCACTCTTCCTTCAGCTTCTTTGCTGCTCAATTCTGGTCTAAAGATCGACCTGTGATTCCAAAACTCATTCATCGATGGCTATCAGCACGAGTGCTAGCTTATTGGTATATGTATGGTGGATTCAAAAGCTCTTCAGAAGATATATTACTTAAGCTAAGAGGTGCAACACGTGAGGACATTGAGAAAGTATTGAAGGATTTTCAGGGGAAAGACATAGCTGGTAAGGTGAAGAGGAAGGGTAGATTTTTCTGGATTGGTTTTCAAGGAAGCGATGCAGTTTGTTTCTGGAGGTTGGTAGAACCTTTTCTCCTACCAAATGTGAAAGAACTGTTGATGCCAAATAATGATGCCATGGAATGTGATGATGGACATGTCCCTAATCAAGGTTCTGTTTCAGATGTGCACGAGTGTGGTGAAAGCCTGAGGTGATTCTCTTGAAGTTATGTATATTTCTTGTTAAATTTGAGATAAATTATTTTGGCTTCTCTCATTTTAAATTCTGATTGCACTACTTACTGCAACAGGATGTATTTTTGTAAATTAATTTGTCTTGTCAGAAGAAAGTTGTTATTTAATTTGCTTTCAAGCCTTTGTGATCATATCATTTCATACGTCCATGAAACGATGCGTATTTCTTTCTTTTACTCATCCTTGTCATTTTGATATTTCTTCGCATCAGATATATATGATGAACAAAGTAGCTTCAGAAAAGTATATGATGTTTGTTCTCCAATAGTTTGAAAAATAATATTAAAGCTTGATTTCACCATCGACAATTATTTTAGTATTTCTTAAATCTTGAATGATGGAATCAAAATTATTCAAATACAATTTAGTTTGCATAATTTTATGTATTTGAAGTAAATATAATCTCGGCTTTTGATAAAATTTGTTTCATTGTTTTTATCATACCAAGATTCTAGCCTGAGTCAATTTTTTTGCATTTGTACCCTTAAAGATATTTGTCAGGAACATATTCCCCAAAATACAATCGAGTTATTGATGGTACTCTTTATACATTTTTATCTTGTCTTCTTCACTGGTGTTTTATGAGTTCCTATTTGAAAATTACGCTGCAAGTCTTGGTTCTCTAAAGCTCAAAACTATTTGAAGCATCAAACTTCTCATTCCTGAATTTTGTGGCAATTTTAATTTCAAAATCCTGCCGGATAAGTTGTTAGCAAAATGATGTCTCAACTAAGCGTCGAACGCAATTTGTCTTAAAATAAATGCAAAAAAGATTAAACTCCTCGAAAAGGAATACCATAATCCTATGCACATAAACGCATAAACATCACATAAATTATTGAGTTTTTATATGAGGTACTTGAAGAATTACAATTTATTCAAAATCACAGGTAATTGACAAAATTAATGCTAAGTTTAGCTGAGAGAATCTAATCACCTATTGTGAAGATGGTGGCTAAACGTGCTGAAGGAGATGATATTATTTTAATTACTCTCTTGTCCTCATTATTATCGGTATTCTTAATGAAAACTATTATTTGATATGATTATGGTTTATTTTTGTGGTTAAAAATGAAAATAATAACATTTTTTTGTTTCTTGAAGCAGCTAAAGAACTAGCCTTACAAGCACTCAAAAAAATTTCTTTCTTACTCAAACGACAATTCTGTCCTCTTTATTTCTCTTCCTTTTCTCTATTACTTGTGTTGGATGCATCAACACGTGGTAACTGTCTCTTTATATAATGTATGGAAGTGTTAAGTTGCAAGTTTAAGCATGATAGGTAGATAGTGGAATGCATGATAATATTGATGTTACCTAGAGGAGGATAAGTAACAAATTTTTAATTGTTTGGTAAATATTTGTGCGAGTTAAGTAAAGAAATTTATCTTCATATCTTTGAAAAAATCTCATTAAAATAAAATTCAAAATTTAATATGTTAGTATTGACTCTTGTTTAGTAGCTTAATTTTTTAAATTATTTTATTTTTATATAGTAGTATATTAAGGTCAGATTAAATTCTTTATAGGATAGCACAACACTCAAAACTTAGGTTAATTTCAAATTGATTTCAATACTAATGCTTGACCTTTTAGTCATCGATATTTAATGCTTGCTTTACTAATCACAAATCTCCTATCGGATAAAGAGAACAACCGAGCAAGTACTTGATTGTTATTTGATGCTAACCAATCTCTGATGAAATCAATGTCACTTGGTCTCTACTTTTGTAAGTAAAATGGGAGAGTGATTCACCAAAGATCACCTGATGCTTGATGTTCTTAGTCGATTTTTGCTCGAGGCTACCAATCATCAATAATCATAAACCCTAAACTCTTAAACACGTAATATCTGTCTATTATTGACACTTGTTATCTATTTTTTGATGTATATTATAAGGAGAGCAACAAAAAACAAAAAATTTCACACCTAAAAGTTCATCCTGTTTCTATTATTGAAGCGATTCTGCACAATTCATGTCATCCATTCACATTCTCTCAATGACCTTTATGATTAAGAAGAAATGCATCATCACTCATCAGTTATATATAGATGAGATGATGTCAGTGGAATAAGTTTATTTATGTCAGGTCCAAGGTTGTTTTTACGTCTTCATAGATTTTTCATGTCAGATAATATGTCATATGATGTTATATTATGTGTAGGCGAGGGATGGATGAGGCGGATTAGGAAGATGATGACGCGTAGGCTGCCTTTGCCTTTGGCTAATACATCAACAATCAACCACTGCCATTCAAAGCTAATTAACATATCGAATGGTTGAAGCAGGTGCATGTCTTTACGCTAACCAAACAACTATATATGCTTCACCTAACACTCCATCTGCATGCATCATCACGCAATTAATTTGCTCTCTCACTCTCTCTCTCTCTCTCTTATCATGCAAGTGCATAAACATATACATATATTTATAAGCATACCTTTTCCCAAGTGGTGAATGTAGGAGTTGCGAGGGCCAAGAACTGTTGCAGTAAGATGAGGCGGCCAAGACTGTTGCACTATATTAAACATCTACTCACGCACGAGCACACACATATAATATATATATATATAGACACACACACTATATTGCCCGACATCTTATTATTTATATTTTAATAAATAATACTTATTTATAAAATTTAATTCATTAAACTCGCATTAAAATTATATTTTCTTATAGCAAACTCTAGTAGGTTATTGAGGGAACCTTCATCACAAGAGCAGTTTATTCACCATTATTTTTTTTTTAGTCTTTCAGTTTATGCATCAGTTATTCTTTTGTTTTTTGTTTTGGTAATTTTATTTCTGCTTTTTTTTTTCTTTAGAATATGTCCTACTTTTTGTTGAGCAATTATTGTGTTTAGTAATTGAAATAAAATTTTATTTTTCTCTACTTATTTTTATTATTTATTGTTGGCGTGCCATCAACAAATTTTTATAAGCATAAATCTCGATGTATTTTTATGAGTGGTCTTCTAAAGCCAAATTCAAATTCATTTAATCCCCAATTTCAACAAGTTTATAGTCAAGCTGATCGTCTCTACCGGGCGAACACAATAATACCAAAATTGGTTCAATTCGGGTCCAATCAAGCCCAGATCTAGCCATTAAAACACATTTGGAGGCTTTAGATCATAAATTGAATGGTCATATAATTCAAATTTGACATATTTATAGTTAAATCGAAGTTGAAGAAAAGGATTCTAGAACCCGTTTTGGAGAGATGTCACAGTGCTAACCACCAACCTCCACAGCCATCGACCACCGTAGAACATCGCCCATCGGCCATCATCGACCACCTTCGACCATCACCACTTGTTACCGACCACCCCTATTTGCAGACGAAATAATTTGAATACGGTTGTTGTGCCTAACCTATATCGAAGGCTATAACTAGTCACCGGGCTCTTGCCATTACACGCCGCTGTCATCGAGCCACCGTTGTGTTGGACACTGTCGTTGGGCTTTTATCATGATGCAAAACTATCTTCAGTTCACCATAGTGCTGGACCACTATCATGGGGTTGTTGCTGTATTGGAGCATTATTTTCGGGTCACCATTGGGCCAGACCATTACACAGGACTGCCATAAATGCTGGAACATCATCACCTAGCTATTTTCATTCTCAAATGACTGTTAGCACCTCCTTAAAGGAGCATGCGGCCACCACCTTAAGGGAAAAGGCAATCATTGTCTGAATTTGGGTAGACAACAATAGTCTGAATTTGGAAAGACAACAACAACTTGAGGAAGAAGCAACAACACCCGAGAAAGGAAGTAACAATAACCCAAGAAAGAAGGTAATAATAGCATGAGAAATAAGGCAATAACAACCAATGTTGGGGAGAGACAACGCATAACAACCTACGCGAGGGAGGTAACGATAGCCTACTTCAGGGAAAACAACAACAACCTACATCGAAAGAGAGAGTACCAGCATATGCTCGGGGAGGTAATAACTTACTTCATGGAAAACAATAACAAGCATACGTCAGAGGAATTAATAACCTACTTCAGGGAAGACAACAACCAACATTGGCAACCACTGTCGGGGGAGGCAACAACAACTTACTTTGAGGAATGCAACAATAACCTACTTTGAGGGAGAAAACAACAACCTACTTCAGGGAAGATAAGAACAACTAACATTGGGGAAAGCAACAACAACCCACATTGGTAAAGACAACAACAACTTGCTTAGGAGAATAAAATAACCTACTTTGGGGGAAACAACAACAAACAACGTCAGATAAGGCAACAACAGCTTGGGGGATGCAATGACAACCTACACGGGGAAGGCAACATGTTGCTTTAGGGGAGACAACAATAGCTTATTTCAAGGAAGGCGACAATAACCTATATCAGGGAAGGCCACAACAACCTACATCAGGGAAGGCAATAACAACTTACATTGAGGGAGACATCAATAGCTCGGCTTTGGAATTTAGGAGTCCTAATCACCCAAAGTCGTCATATCAGCAGGACTCAACCACACAAATTCATGTTGAAAAGCGAGTTGCCTACTAACGTGACTACTCAAGTGAATTTCACTAATTTTTTTCCCTGTCATTTTAAAATATTAATTAAAAAAATACTATTATTAAAATTTAGTTTATCATAAAAAAAATTGTTCTATCATCATGGGTTGTAGATCCTTGATTTCTTTAATTATTCGTATGATGGTGTCAAAATTTGAAATTAATGATCAAATAATATTTTTAAAGATGACCATTTTTTCCAACTTTTCGTCATTTCTTTTAGTTAATTTGAAATGGTAAAGACCCAATTTGCTTTCTTTCATATGTAATACATCAAATTAGCTATTTAATATTCAAAATTGTATCTTTTTAATCTTCTCTTTTCCTTTGTATGAAACATGAAGCTTCTTCTATACTTGTCTGGTGTATAGCCAAAAGCAATTGTCCAACTCATCAGAAATCAGATTGTTCAGGTTATCCCAAATTAGATGGCTCATAGTCTATCCATCAACGAAAGCTGTTCCATGAGTTAAAGCAATAAGTTGGACAGCTGGACAAGGCTGCCAATGTCAGGAATGTGGAATGACCGAGGGTGAGCGAGTGAGGTTCGGTGACTGAGGCCGAGCAACCAAACTGAGTGTTTGAAGCGAGGCGCGGGCTGAAAGATGGTCGTTCGTGATCAAACTCCTAACCTTCTTGTGTTGACGACTCAGCCAAAAGTTGAGTTCTTCAAAGACCCTGAATCATGATAAAAAAATTGATGACGAGAGTCTGGGTCCCAATGCTAATTAGAGGTACAGGACAATATATGCCCAAATATATCATTTTATGAGGGCCAATCAGTATTAATAGAGGAAATTAAATGCAACGAGTGATTTTTTCTAAGGAATCCTCAATCCCAGAATATTTTTGTGATCCCATGTCTCTTTCTTCTAGCTCATCTATATAAAAAAAACGGCCTCTTTTCCTCTCTTACGATCTATTTCTTAGGTGTGTGATTCTAGGATAAATATGAGTTCAAACATTTGGATAAATGTAACACTCTAATATCTTTTTTTTTAATAGCATCATTTGAAGCTTTGATAGATGACAAGCATAACTATATTATTAAGATATCCTTATGCTTTTAAGGATAATGCCGATTCGTTGCTGGGCTTAGTGTAGTCTTTCACAAGCCCTAACAAAACAGCTGAAAGAAGAGAAAAAACTAAAAGCAAAGAGGGAAGACATTTAGAGAGAAGACGGCAAAGTGAGAAATAAATGTTTGTGGTAGTAGATAAGAGTGGTTGGGGCAGTTAGAAGAAAGAATTTTGGAATGGTTAGGCTGAGCATGCATAAAAGCCTCCTCTCCATTCTTCCCGAATTCCCATCCTCTTCATTTAATCATCCAACTCCGACAACCTCCTCCCCTCCCCTTTTACGGGATACGAAAGATTGACTCTCGATGCCGGCGCCGCGCAGACGATGGAAGCCCTTTTCTGCCCGCAGTTGCTGCACCGTTGAAAACCACGTTGTGCTCAGAAACCTCAGCTTTAACTTGAGCAGGTGCCGTCCAGCACGCTCCGATTTCTCCAAGAAGGTGGCAGAGCCGCCGTCTTTCCGCCCCCTCTGCATTTCGGACATCAGCAGTTCATCGTCGGCGAGGTTCAACGAGGAGTTTGGTCAGACTTTTGGAGCCGGGCTATATGCCTTCCAGCTGAGTGAGCTGAGAGCCATCACACACGACTTCTCGAGCAGCTACCTACTTGGTGAGGGCGGGTTCGGCACGGTGCACAAAGGCTACTTTGATGATAAGATGCGGCCTGGCCTGAAGGCACAGGCCGTCGCCGTCAAGCTCCTTGACATCGAGGGGCTTCAGGGTCACCGGGAGTGGCTTGTGAGACAAACATTAAATATCCTTCTCCTCTCTTCTCTGCTGCTTATGCTTAATTTCTCTCTCATTCTTATGCTCCTGTGTGCTGCAATACAGTGGGAAACAAACTTTTAATTCTTTATTTCTTAGAGCCAGCTGTGCGGGTTCGGTGTACTTTTTCTATGAAGGAAATTAATTTAGACTCATTTCAAAATAAGTAGATGAAACATCTTAATCAAGGAATCTCCAAATTTAGGTATAAATATTGGAATTGGCAAAATTCACCCTGTTTTTATATTCAACCCACCGGTAACGGTAAAGAAGATTTAAATTTTTTTTTTATACATAAAAATGATAGTTTATGTAGTATATATATTGATTTGGATCAGCCGTTACTAATATATATATATCAATGTGCAGGCAGAGGTGATATTGTTGGGGCAGCTCAGGAACCCTCATCTAGTAAAGCTGATAGGCTATTGCTGCGAGGACGAAGAGAGGCTTCTCGTCTACGAGTTCATGCCTCGTGGCAGTCTTGAGAACCATCTCTTTAAGAGTGAGCGAGCGAGCCTTAAATATTAATTCCATGCTCTCAATCAGCATTCATGTAGCATCCGCATCATTGTTAATTATATACGTGCAGGAGTAATATCAGCGTCACTGTCATGGGGAACGAGGATGAAAATTGCCCTAGGAGCTGCAAGAGGCCTCGCTTTCCTTCACGGCGCGGAGAAGCCCATCATTTATCGTGACTTCAAGACATCCAACATCCTCCTCGACTCCGTCTGCAGCTATTCTCTCATTATATATATTAATTAACTATATCATCTTCAATATTCCTCCTTATATATACATACATATATATATTTTCAGATATATGTGATGCATGCGCGCAGGACTTCACTGCTAAGCTGTCGGACTTTGGGCTAGCGAAGATGGGGCCGTCGGGGGAAGACACGCACGTGACCACCAGGGTGATGGGGACCCAAGGCTATGCCGCCCCTGAATACGTGATGACAGGTCACCTCACCACAAAGAACGACGTGTACAGCTTCGGGGTGGTGCTTCTGGAGCTGCTGACGGGGCGTCGGTCGGTCGACAAGTCGCGGCCGAAGAAGGAAGAGAAGCTGGTGGAATGGTCCAAGCCGTACTTGAGGAACAGCCGGAGGCTACGTTGCATAATGGACCCAAAGCTCGCGGGTCAGTACTCCGTCAAGTGCGCGAGGGAGGCTGCTGCTCTCGCTCTGCGCTGCGTCAGCCCTCACCCCAAGGACAGGCCTCACATGTCCGAGGTCGTTGATGTTCTCCAAGGCCTCCACAGCTTCAGGGACATGACCGTGAAATCTGGCGCTGCGGCCCCGACGGGAAGAAAGGCCGTGATATCTTATAGCTCCCCAAGGATCGGAGCTCATCGTCCGCGAACTGTCTCGGACAAGGTTGCCTGAGCGTTGCGGTTGTGGGGTTGTGTAGTTGGTCTTGCGCATGTATTCTGTCGATTGCGCTGCAAGATCTTCCATCTGTTTTCAACTGTAAATAAAAGGAGAGAAGAGGAGGTGTTCTGTTTTGGTCATCCATGTGGAAATGGAATTAAAATGGCCATGCTTTCTATAAGCCTCGCAATCCACCGTAGTCCTCCTACAACAACTGCAACTGATAAGAGCGCGTGGATGGGGGCGTGGAAGAGAGATTTTATATAAAAGGAATATTATGTTTGTCGGTGTAAATATTGAAATTTGTGTGTGAGATGTGTGATATTATGAGTTTAGAGTGCTATGTATGAAAATTCATGATAGTCAAATACAATTTGAATAACACCAAACTTGTTACATAATTGACTTCACTGCATGACTGATCATATTCTTAAATAATGTTTAATTAAGGAGCTAAACCTAGACCCTCACACATATAAGCATCACAAATAACCTATAACCTCATACAAATTGTTAAATACGAGCATTCCACAAATCAGACCATTACTGATTCCAACTATGGCCATCTAAATTCCACCTCAGTTGAAGTTAGTTATGTATAGAGTCGAAGCTGTCATTAATGTGGAGCTTACAAAAGAAAATCAGCTCACCTGGCAATCCCAAATACTATAAATTATTTAGAGTGAATGGGTTTGATGGTTTTCTGGATGGATCCACTACATGCTCTTCATCTCACATCACACAACCAGATGGATCGGTTCAGCTAAATTCTGATCATGCACTGTGAATGATGCTTGTAGATCAGAACTTAGCCACTGCACTCTTCTCCACAATTTCGCCCTCTTTGCTAAGAACTTAGCCACTTGTCACGGACTAATTTTCCTTGAGTTATCCGTGCGGCTTTAGCGCTCTTTCTTAGCATACCATACATCCTAAATCTTCAGTCATGCAATGAAATATGGATGATACTTGAACATCGTCACCAATACACAAAATAGAGCACGAGTTATTCAGCTCAAGAACGAGCTTCAAAATATCTCCATAAAGAAACAATTCATGACACAATACTTATCAAATATCAAAGCCAAAGTTGATGCGATTACAACAGTTGAATCTTTCTTGCACACAGGATATCATACATTACATGCTTAATGACATTCCTTCCATCTATCGGGATTTTAAGGTATCTATTCGGACAAATCTCCAACAGATCAATCTTGA